TACATTAAAAAAAAATCGCGGACCGGTTGTCAATTTTAACTGATTTTAATATTTACTCACCACCAGCAGGTAGCAACAGAGGCTAATTGTATGTAACAGCCTGAACAGATACTAGAACAATATGCATCCAAAACATATTAACAAAGTTTAAAAAAGAACCGGTGTCATTTTTTGGTTTTTCGGAAAACCAAAAAACCGACGTTATTCAGTTTTTAAACCAAAACGGGAAAACAGATAAATTAACGTTTTGGTTTTGTTTGTATGATTTACGGATAATCCAGTGAATGCTGGGAAAACGAGGAGAAGCCGCATTATGAACACTGGCATTTGTTTTCAGAAGATATTATGATAGTGTCGTTCGTTCCGGTGCACTCCGACAGCATTAGCACTACATCGAGATTAAGATTAAACTAATTTATTTTGGGAACAGCCGCATATATGGAGTTAGCCATATGTGTGTAAATTACTGTTCATAAACATTTGAAAACAAATGCCGGTGTCGGACAGACACAAACACACCGAACACACAGAGCTGAGCTGAGCAGAGCACATACACACACACATCATGCGCCTTGGTGACTGACTGGACATCTCCTTCATAAAACTAATAAAAGGGGGAGTAATCGGGCAGTTCGATGTGTGTAGATGTGTGTGTATAGGTGTGTGTGGTTAACACGTAGCAGCCTGCAGTCACTCTTAAACTGTTCTGATGAAGTTAAACACAGTCATACTGGTGCTGCACTTCTCAGAAGCGGAGTATACGTGCCGCTGCCTCCGGATGCTGCAGCCGTTTTAAGAAGTGAAGGAGGGTTTCCGTCTATAAAGCAGCTGCGGGCAGCTGCGGGTCCGAGAGTCCCGGACATTAATTCATAGATCAAGGCAGACTGGTTTACTCTTCTGTTTTGCCAATCCGGTGCTTAAACAAATAGCTCTACACCCCTGGCCGACATGTCCTTAAAATGAAGTCCGAGTTTGAAATATATCTCAAATAATGTATGCACCACCATTTCCCCACATAAACATAACAGTCTGCAATCAAACGGTTGTCTCCTGTGCGCTCCTCTTCCTACTTGGCGCACCGGTAACATGCTTGTGCGCACGAGAGGAGACCTTATAAGGCTGAGCCGCCGAATCCCTCATCATAAAAGCCATTTTCAACGGTTTTCTGGTGAAAGATTAACTAGCTACTGGATGAAATAATATGACTGGTGGCATAGGTGCGAAAATTAAACACTTTTTGAAAAAATATTATGATAAAATATTTTTATATATTTATAATTCTGCAAATATTACGATAAACTCACAGCTATTTCGCGGCCCGGCAGTAACACCTCTGCGGCCCGGTACCGGTCCGCGGACCGGGGGTTGGGAACCCCTGCTTTAGAGAATCGACTGCACTTTCACTATCCGACGTGTTTATGATGCGCCAGCGGAGGTCATAAATGTGCGCCTGCTGCTGTGGGGAAACTATGGAAACTACAGTTTTCTATACAGCGGACTACAACATGGATGTTTAATAAGAACGAGGGCAAACTACTGTAAACTCATCTAGAGACTCTGCACCGTGCTCTGATGCTGTTGTTTTATGCTTTATGAACGGGGACAACAGAGAAACATATTCTTCATGACCAAAGTTGGAATTGAAATAAAAAAGGAAAGTGAAACTTATGCTCGTCACCCTCTCCCTCCGGTCCACATTAATACAAATGATCCCAATACGTATGATTGTATGAAAAGATCTTAAAATCAATACAAATGTATTTATTATAAACGTTAGTCCTTAACATCTATCACTGTGTATATCACCATTCAAACATCTTTTAAAAGTTGAACAAACCCCACACAGCTCAGTAAAGACTGTGAAATGTTGACTTTATTTGATCATTTCAGTAAAAACTAACGTTCATATTTCTCTTTTTGATTCTAATACTGATGAACGTTCAAAACAAAGCACTTTGGCAACTTACCACATACGTTTTAAAATGCTTAATAAGCACCGTAACTTTCATGATATTATTTCTCGTTCATAATCGGTTGTTTCCGTGAACGGCCGACTGTTGTGTGACGGCTGTCACTACCCGATCTGTCCCCCTGCCCGATCTGTACTGCGCATGTGCGAGATGGTCCGCCATATTGGACAACTACATACGGCAACTCTACTAGGACACTTGACACAGTGGCTTTTGGCAAAGCAGAAAAAGAACCGAGAGAGATTATTGTTATTACAACGTGACTTCACTATTATTTAACAACTCTTTTTATTGGGTTCTTTTATTTGGGGTTAAATACATTGTCAGAATAAGTGAGACATGGATTTAACTTCTGTTAGACAGCTATATGCCATACATTTTTGCATACAATCAGAGTAAATATTTATTCAGTATGATAGCTGTCTAACATAAGTTAAATCCATGTCTCACTTAATGTATGTATTTAACCCCAAATAAAAGAACCCAATAAAAAGAGTTGTTAAATAATAGTGAAGTCACGTTGTAATAACAATAATCTCTCTCGGTTCTTTTTCTGCTTTGCCAAAAGCCACTGTGTCAAGTGTCCTAGTAGAGTTGCCGTATGTAGTTGTCCAATATGGCGGATCATCTCGCACATGCGCAGTACAGATCGGGCAGGGGGACAGATCAGGTAGTGACAACGGCAAATGCGGCGGCCACAAGGCATTGTGGGGCAGCATTTTCTCCTCTCCTTTCGGTTAGGGAGGTCCAGTGGTTCCTAAGCTAAAGGAGGTTATAAAGGAAGTTTGAAACCTCCTTTCCTTTTAATTTAGAGAATTCGAACAGCACTTGTCATGGCTGCCACTGAGGGACTTCCGGGTCATTTCACTCCGTTAGGAAGGTTCCTAAGCTAAATGGACTATTCGACCGCAACCCAGGTGAAGAGATGTTGGCGAAAAGACAGTTTCAGTCCGGCGCAAGCAAGAGGGAGAAAAAAACAAAACATGAAGAAACTAGAGCATCACTCAAAGGTGGGTTATTGTATGAGTCAAATGTACAACTTGCGAATGTTGTATAAGTCAAATGTCAAACTTTTGCCAATTGCCATATTAAACACATCAGCTGCAATTCACGACATGAAGAAGGCAGTCTCTGCATAGCATATAGGCTAATGGAGATGCAGTTATTTCCAGCATTCTTTATTTACCATTCATTCAAGTATTTTATGCCTTTTAATAATAATCTTTTTGAGGCTAGTATTTGGCAGGAAATGTAGACGTATTCACCTAACGCATACTGAACGACATACATGCACATTTACCATTTACCTCACTGTATAAAAAAGTAACTGTGTTGATAATAATAATAAACAGGAATTATATTTGCAAAGTACTTTGTTTCCAAAAAAATGGTTTCACTCCTGTCGGTGGGGTGGGGGGGGGGCCTCATCTCACAATGTCGCTTGGGGCCCCAAGTTGGCTGCGGAAACCTCACCTCAACCCAAACCACATGCCTGAAGTTCACATGAGATCAGACTGCAGTTTAATGCCACTCATAAAACATTCCCCTGATCTGAGGAACACAGTTTAGTGAGGAATCTAATGCTTTTAGTTTAATTTGCTGGAATCATAGACTGTATACATAAAGGGTGGTATATGAATGGGTTAAGAGGCAACGCTGCTACTCTGTGGTTAATGCGGGATATGGCATGCAGACAGATATGGTGTCAGATGATATGAATGCCAATCCTCTGTTTAACAATTCTGAGCTTTAGTTTTCTTACAGGTAACAGGGGATTTGAACCTTTTCTGTTTAACCGTAAATGGTTTGTACCTAACATGTTGAGTATATAGTGCACAATCTCAAACTCATACACTACAAATCAAATAGAATAGAATAGAATTCCTGACCTGTCACCGGTGGTGATTATCAGATGTGAAGCTGCTGGGAACCACCTCAGGTCTGGAAAATATACGACTGCAGGGGGTTTTCTTATTCATTAAAGAGCTGAAAAAAGACCACAGTCAAAGTGAAGTAGTCATGACCGCAGAAAGCATTGCATTTATTTGACAAAATGAGTTACTAGTTACTTTACAAATACAAATGATTAGATTAAACAAAATATGAATAAACAGTGATATATAATTATTATTATTATTATAAGATATCCAGCAGCAGTATATAAAGTGAACGTTGCTCCACTTTTAACAGCTGTGATGAACACATTAACGTAAACTAAATGAAAGAATCCAGTAATTCAATATAAGATTCTAAAATGGGACATTGGGCGCAGTAAGTACTTTTACTTTTGGTACTTTAACTATTTTTTATGCCAATATGTCTCAGTTTATGCTGCTTTACTTCTACTCGACAGCTTTTAGTTACTAGTTAGATATAGATTAGGAGATAATTCAAAATATAAATCAGTTATTAAATACACTTTGACAGATATTTATAGGATAAGATATCCAGTAGCAGGACATACAGTTGCTCAAATTAGCTCTACATTTACTAACTGTGATAAAACACATCAATAATCATTATAGTAACTCTATATATATATATATATATATATATATATATACGATTCTGAAAAGGGCCATTATGCATAAGGAGTACTTTTACTTTTGGTACTTAAAGTATATTTTGATACCAATGCTTTTGTACTTTTACTTGTTACACAGTATTTGTACCCCGTAGTATTTCTACTTTTGCTTTAGTAGAATATCTGAGTACTTCTTTCACCACTGCTACCATGAGTGTGGAGCTGTGTGCTACAAAAGCCTGAATTTAAAACAAATATTTTACAGCTGAAGACTGTTTTCAAATGTAGAGCAGGTTGTAAGCGAGGCTCCGTTTGTGAATGAGGAAACAGTTCAGAGTGTCAGCTCCTCCTGCTGGAATGAGTCAGAGTTTGATAAGCCCTCCCTCTTCTTCCTGCTCTCAGACACAGCCAGCTCCACTCTGTATTTCCTCGCTCCTCCCCTTTAGATCCACACTGAGGAGGATGGGTGTAACCAACATGTGGGTAAAGTCCAATAGCTGATAGGCCACATTCACTGCACACACACATCCTGTTCAGATCACAGCTCACATAGTTTCAGCTCTCAGGAAGTGAAACTCAGACACTCGCTGCCACTGAGAGCTGAAATGGCGCAGAAAGGAGTTCAGCTGGACCGGGAAACCTTCTCTTGTTCGATCTGTCTGGATCTACTGAAGGATCCGGTTACGACTACCTGTGGACACAGCTACTGCATGAAGTGTATTAAAGGCTTCTGGGATGGAGAGGATGAGAAGAAGATCCACAGCTGCCCTCAGTGTAGGCAGAGCTTCACACCGAGGCCTGTCCTGCTGAAAAACACCATGTTAGCAGCTTTAGTGGAGGAGCTGAAGAAGACTGGACTCCAAGCTGCTCCTGCTGATCACTGCTATGCTGGAGCTGAAGATGTGGCCTGTGATTTCTGCACTGGGAGAAAACTGAGAGCCTGTAAGTCCTGCCTCGTGTGTCTGGCCTCTTATTGTGACCAACACCTCCAGCCTCATTATGAATTAGCTGTATTTAAAAAACACAAGCTGGTGGAGCCCTCCAAGAAGCTCCAGGAGAACATCTGCTCTCGTCACGACGAGGTGATGAAGATGTTCTGCCGCACTGATCAGCAGTGTATCTGTTATCTCTGCTCTGTGGACGAACACAAAGGCCACGACACAGTGTCAGCTGCTGCAGAGAGGACTGAGAGGCAGAGAGAGCTGGAGGGGAGTCGAGAAAACATCCAGCAGAGAATCCAGGACAGAGAGAAGGAGGTGAAGCTGCTTCAGCAGGAGGTGGAGGCCGTCAATGGCTCTGCTGATAAAGCAGTGGAGGACAGTGAGAAGATGTTCACTGAGCTGATCCGTCTCATGGAGAAAAGAAGCTCTGATGTGAAGCAGCAGGTCAGATCCCAGCAGAAGAGTGAAGTGAGTCGAGTCAAAGAGCTTCAGGAGAAGCTAGAGCAGGAGATGGCTGAGCTGAAGAGGAGAGACGCTGATCTGAAGCTGCTGTCTCACACAGAGGATCACAACCAGTTTCTGCACAGCTACCCCTCACTGTCAGCCCTCAGTGAACCTACACACTCATCCAGCATCAACATCCGTCCTCTGAGCTACTTTGAGGACGTGACGGCGGCCCTGTCAGCAGTCAGAGACAAACTACAGGACGTCCTGAGAGAGGAATGGACAAACGTCTCACCGACTGAAGTGAATGTTTTACTGTCAGCAGCAGAGCCCACCACCAGAGCTGGGTTCTTACAATATTCACAGGAGATCACTCTGGATCCAAACACAGCATGCACAGATCTGTTATTATCTGAGGGGAGCAGAAAAGCAACATTCATGGAACAACAACAGTCTTATTCTAGTCACCCAGACAGATTCACTCATTGTGTTCAGGTCCTGAGTAGAGAGAGTCTGACTGGACGCTGTTACTGGGAGGTGGAGCGGAGAGGGGGAAAAGTTCGTGTTGCAGTCGCATACAAGAATATCAGCAGAGCAGGGAGTGGATGTGGATTTGGATACAATGACAAATCTTGGTCCTTAGAGTGTAACCAAAACAGTTTTTCATTTTGTTACAACAATATCAAAACTCCCGTCTCAGGTCCTCAGTCCTCCAGAGTAGGAGTGTACCTGGATCACAGAGCAGGTATTCTGTCCTTCTACAGCATCTCTGAAACCATGACTCTCCTCCACAGAGTCCAGACCACATTCACTCAGCCGCTACATGCTGGAGTTTGGCTTTATGGTGGAACCACAGCTGAGTTGTGTAAACTGAAATAGCCTGAAGTCATTTGAGGAACTCTTCTACTTCTTAAACTCATTGTGTGTCCATCATTGTTGCTGAGAGCTGATTGTTCATGTCTTCACTGCACAGAGATCAGCTGTCAATCAAACATTATGGGATGTGCTTTAACATCTTCTCACGAGTTGTTCTGTAGATGTTGGAGTTTCTTTAGGCGGCGCTCCTTCCTGTGTCTGTTTAGCCATGGAGGCTGTCACTGCTCAGGAGGATTTCTGTTAACCTCAACTCATATTTCTCTGCATGGAAATGTAAACTTTGCTCTAAATATTTGTTGAATATCGATATTGACGTATTTGTATGTTGTTGTTTCTCTTGTAAAGCATGAGAGAGAGAAAGCACCAGAGCTTCTTTCATTGTAGATATTTTATTCTAAATGTCTTTTATTTTTGACTAAGTCTCAATGTGTTGAATGCATCAATGAAAGTTTGAAGAAGGAAATAAAACACATTCAAAGAAAAGCTAACAGGTTGAGTTTGTAATAAATGGTGTTTCTATGTTCAAGATGTGAGATGAGTGCCACATTTACATGTCTGTACAAAATAAAATGTTGGAGCTTTTCTTGTTAATAAAAGAGCTAAGAGGACACAAGTGAAAATCTCAGTCTTTGTTTGTAATCTTAAAATGAATGATCTCTCCTCTCCAGTGAAGCTGCACTAAGTTGAGTTGAATTTTAATACATGTAGTTCTTGTTTTACTGCTACGTCCCCAATAAGCTCTAGGACAAAAAAGGAGACAGTAACACAAGACAACAAATAACATTGAGAGAGTCGGGGGGGAAAGTGAACACAAGTGCATTTATTTACACCAAAGAATGGAGAGGACGAAACGTCTATGGAAGAGGGTTAGGAACATGTGGAGAAATGTGAGATCTGAAATAAAGTGATAATTTTTTATGTTTCAAGATTTTAGTCAGAATATTGAGAAACAAGTCAGAATTCAGAATATTTTTAATAAATCTTTTTCTTAAGAACATTTTTTTTCTGAAAATCTCAGAATTCAGAATAAATATATTTTATTCCTTTTTTTAATGAAATTACAGAAATCTGAGATTAAAGTTAGAAAAAAATCACTTTGGTCAGACCTCAACATGTTCTTTACTAGTGAAAGTCAGAATTCTGATAACAAAAATATTCTTTTACAAAAGAAATTCAGATTTTCAATTTTTTTTTAAGAAAATCTCAGAAATCTGACTTTTTCTTAAAATATATTTTATTTATTTTCATGAAAACCTTCAGAATTAGTTTTCATAGATATGAGATTTAAGTAAGAATTTTGATTTATTACTCAAAAGAAAAAATCAGTTTTGGTCAGGTCCAAAAGATAAATCCACATGAGGTCCTAATCCTCTTCTGTATTTCAGAAAAGCAGAAAGCATTGTTACCAGGATGAGAGAGGATGCTAGATCTGCCTGAAACTGTCTCCTGTTCAGCATCTCCTGCTTTGGCATCTTTATCTGCAGCCCTTTGATGTACTCCACCACTTTGTCCACATCGAGAGCATCCACACTGTCGTACAAGCACAGGATCTGAAGAAAGGAGTAAAACAGTAAATAGACTGAAAGGATTTGGGTACTGAGGCTGCTAGAGAGAGAGAAAGAGAAAGATAAATAAAATCTATAAGAAACTAAATTATTGTATAGTTCTGTGTGTCCTCCAGGAACTAAATCCATTAAAACATACTTAAAATGTCTGCTTGCATCAACTTTGAATCAAAGCAAAGTATACAATTTTTTTTGTTTGTTGGCGACATTTCCAACTTCTCTCATCCACAGAAGTTGATGAGAAAAACAAGAATAGGTTTAGCAATCTGTCACATTTCCTGTTGGCTGTCTGAGGAGTCACCTGCACGGCGCTGAGGGTGTAGAGCAGGTGGGGGTCGTGTCCGATGCTGGCGCTGAGGCCTCCACACTCGTGCTGACAGGATTTGATGAAGTCTACGATCTCCGGCCGGTTCATCCGGGGCAGCTGCGCCATCAGGTCCATCACCGTCAGCCCCCAGTAGATGCCGCTCATCCGCAGGTACTCTGACAGTGTGTACTCCTGAGGCCTGTACTACGAAGCCGGATTTTCCTAACCTGGATATGTTTGAGTTAGCCGGTTGGCCCAATCCAAAACATACGCGCTCTCGCTAAGCTGTACTACGACGCTGGTTATCAAGTGGATCGCTCAAGCCAGCCGTGTCCTATCTAGTTAGGTGCGCGTTCACATGAAAGGGGTGGTATTTGGAGCATTCGACTAATCTCAAACATGGACAAGCGCACTGACAGCGCAGCGTCATACTTCCTGAATGAAAAGTGAACTTTAATATTAGTCAAATATGAAGAAGTTAAACTTCAAACATCCATGACTTAAACACTTTATCCAGGATAAAAGCCACATAGCTGCACCTGCAAGGTGAATACAGCTGGTAAAAGAAAAAGCGTTTGAATGCGTACATTAACAGGTTTATGAAATCACTGCCCCGTCTAAGACACGATCTGACTTTAATTACATTTGACTCGAGTGTTTCTTCAACTTAATGTGCTGCTTAAAATAATACTTCTGCATACAGTATGTGACACTGTGAGTGTTGCACGGCCAGATACGGCTCAAGAAGCTGACTCAGATAAGGAAATATATGATACATTATGATGTGATATGATATGAATGATAATGGGACACATCGACGTCTGCACTCACAGTGCCGCGGACTGTACTTAATGTTACTCTAATCCGGTTACTTATGTCGTGGCAGATATTTAAGTAAGCTTTCTTAACGCTAATGTTATAATAGTCAGATTGCTCTGAAGATGGGAGGGGATATTCTATTCATTTTCACGTTCACACAGTCAGTTGATTTTTGCCGGCCGTCTTTCCTGCAACGGCAGTTTTTCTGTATTTCCTCTATCCTGTAATATGACTTGATAGCTTTAAACTCCGCACACTGAGCTCTGATTGGTCAGCAGGCGGTGCTTTCACTGAGTTGATCTCTGAGCCTGCAACCTAACCTGCTCCCGAGGAGGTTAGCCGCTCAGCATAAGTTACCATGGAGATCTAGCCCGCTAAAAAGAGAACCAGCGTCGTAGGACCGGAAAGCCCGAGTTTTCCCTGAAGTCAGCCGGCTAAGCGAAAATCCGGCTTCGTAGTACAGGCCTCTGGACAAACACAAACAAACAGGAAAGATAAACAGTGCAGCAGGAATGAGTCCAAAAACCCGGGAATGAGTCAGCATTATTGCACTTATGGGTCCCTCATCTCAAAATCTATGGGATTTTTTATGGGTTTTTGGTTAAATCCCTGGTCTGTGGTAAAGACAATCTTAGGAGATTTTAAGTGTTTTTTTTCCAGAATGAATGTTCCTTGGTTCCAAGACTAGCCTTAGCATTATTCTCTTTACTTAACAATGTTGGAAGAGGTTGGTAAGGCCATTCACAGATCAAGCAAGGAAATTGAAGTGAGAGTTTTGAATGCAGTTATTACAGTCAAAATATGTTCAGCCACTTTGGAAATATAAACGCCCAAAGGGAAAAAAATGGTGGGTCAAAACCGATGCGGAGTAAAGTCATATTATGTAGACCAGGGGTCGGCAACAGGCGGACCGCGGTCCGGATCCGGACCCAGACGCCGACCTATACGGACCCGGACCTATAATCAATACATTAATAGGGGATTTCAATTTTGACGGGGCGATTCTATTTTAACCGCCGCCGACAGGGGGCGAAAGAGACGAGTGAGCGATACAGGGAGAGAAACACAGAAGAAGAGACGAGTGAGCGATACAGGGAGAGAAACACAGAAGAAGAGACGAGAGAGTGGCAGAGAGAAGCGGAGAGGAAAGTGAGTGAAGAGAATAATTAGCGATACAGGGAGAGAAGCGGTGAATGTGAATACATTTTGGAATACTTTTTGGAATTATTGGTGGAAAAGTTTCCTCATAAAATGTAATATTCATTACCAGCAGAACTGTGTGCACACTGCACAGTGCTGCAGCATGTCTGTGAGGCCCCGCCCCCGCACGCAGATCAGAGAGAGAGATCTCTTTTAAAATATATAGAAACGGAGATGGTTCGATAAAATGTGCAAGATAACGTTTATGTAGCATTTCTTTATTGTCGAAATGATGACATTTCATAACGGGATCAAATCAAAGTGAATGGCCTGCTGCTGCTGAATGCATGGGGCAAGTGACTGGAAACAGTTTTAAAAGTTATTACGTCGTTTCAGATAATAAATAATAATAGTAATTCATTCTATTTAGGGGCGCCTTTCAAAGCACCCAAGGACACCTGACAATTCATAACATATTCTAAGGAAAGGTTTAAGAGAGTACAAATAATGCAGTCCTTGTGATGTTTTTTATGTGGGTGCAGATGAGAGGGAGCTGTCCAGAATGACCCAAAGATGTTGTGTTTGAGTTGTGCTCTTGATAAGCCATTAAAACAGTAAAATAAGTGTCTCCTGTTCACCAAAACATACCCATCTGTTATGGAAAAATAAAGTATTCTAAAAGTAATCTGAATACGTTACTTTTTTAAGACACGTAACTCTAACTGTATTCGGATTACTTTCAGAGCCATGTATTCAGTAACCGATTACATTTACAAAGTAACCCTCCCAACCCTGATTAAAAGTGCCAAAACGCCACTATGAGACAAAACACAAAGTGTTTGACCAAACATTCCCTCTCAAGTCAGAACTGAGGTCACAAAAAGTAAGCAGTCTCAGAGCCCAATATGATCAGTCCACCAGGATCAAAATTAAAACTAAATATCGTTCCAGGGCAGGCTAACCGAGGCTAACCAATGAGCACCTGCATGTGTGTATGAGAATGGCCCTGACACCATTTCAGCCCAGATTTAAACTCCTGGCAGGACAAGCTCGAGCTCAATTCTCGCACTGAATTAAAGAAAAGTGAGTGAGGGACTGCAATATAAGAGGGAAAGAAAGAGAAACTTTAAAACTGTTCAATTGTTATGATGTGTAAAGACTGATATTGTTCTATAATCGTCTGAAACTGTTAAGTCATGATGTGAAACGGTTAACAAAGCTATTTTATTTATTTCTCTATTTTATTTTTAAATGCAGCCCGAGAGGAACATTACACATATCCACAGT